GCGGCCCTGTGAGTTCAATCTCGTGGATGGCCGAGGCATCGAGGCGCTCATTGATCTCATCATGGCCATTGAGAAGAGGGCCGACTGGCCCAGCTCTTTCATCACGGAACTGGCCTTCACCCCCAAGGCTGACGGGGGCTTTCGTCCAATTGCCCTTCTAGCTGCTGTGGCACGGGTGCACGGGCGGCTCAGAAGGCCCCTCCCTCATGCAAAAGTGGGAGAAAGCCAATGACAGGCCTTGTTGGTGGGCTTGCTCGGGTCGCGCTTGCGACAGAGCGGTGTGGCAGCAGCAGACGAGGTCAGAGTGGGTCGCGGTGGTGGCGGAGCTGCGCCCTGACCAGGACTGGGCCTCTGCCAGCATTCTGCTCGACCTGTGGAAGGCGTCCGGGCAAGTCTCTCATCAAAGCTTGGTGCAAGCGGCTACCAAGTACGGTTTCCCGCTGTGGTTGGCCAAGTTGCAGATCTCGCTGCATCGTGCGCCGCGGGTCCTGCACTTAGACGGATGCTGCTCGCAGGAGCTGCAGGTGTACCAGACGGTGCTCGCAGGGGATGCGTTCGCCACGGGCTTCATGCAGCTCATGCTGCTGCACCCAGTGGACGAGATGGTCGCAAAGTTAGGGGCTGTTGCGCCAGCGATCGTGGTCGACGACCTGGTGCTGCAGCGCTGGGGCAGCACTGAGAGAGTGCAAGACGACCTGGTAGGTGCCACACTGCACCTCGTGCAGCATTTGAAGCAGGTGAAGCTCAAGATCGCCGTCAAAAAGTCCAGGGTCCTAGGTAACTCTACTGGGTTCCGCTGCAATATCTCCAGGCGGCTGCTCAAGGTTGCTGGGGTGCTTGGCGCGCGCCACGCGCGGAACCTCGGCATCGATCATGCTGAAGGGCGACGAGCAGCTAGGGCGATTAGGCAGCAGCGGTTCGCCAATGTCGAGTTGCGCATGGGTAAGGTGTGCAGTTTTCTGGGGCTACGGAAAGGGCGCACCGCGGCTGCCAAGGCGGCCTACATTGGATTACACCCTTCGGCCCTCTACGGCGTCAACTGCACAGGCCTCAACGAGAGCGAGCTGTCCAAGATGAGGTCCATCACTGTCAGAGCCGTGGACGCCAGACCAGCAGGCAAGAGCGCCACTGCAGTGCTGATGCTCTCAGGGGCCAGGAACCTGGACCCCATCTTCGCCGCCGCGCTTGGGCCCGTAATGATGCTGGCCTGGGCGGTCTGGGAGCAGTGGATCCCGACGTCGATGCTCAAGTCAACCTTGGAGTGGAACGTCAAGGTGGGTGGCCAAGAGCTGGTCCGACGTGCGCGGACCGATCGGAGCCGCGGTCAAGTCGCTGCAGAGGATCGGCTTCACGCTGCCCGCCTTCACTGGCTGGGTCCCCGAGGCTGGTGAGAAGCTCAATGTGGCAGTTCACTCGCCGTGGACGGCGAGGCAGATCGTCACCGAGGCCGTCGAGCACTGGCAGCTGGCGCAGCTGGCAAAGTCAACGCACTACGGGATTTTCGAAGCTAGGGGAGTCTTCTTGCCGCAAGTCCGACGGTGGATTTTGTCGGGGAGGGGCTCGACCAAGGTGGCGCGGAGCTGGAGGACCTTGACCCCTAGCGAGGCTGGGTGCGCCAGATCATGCTTGGTTGACGGTCAGTGGCTAAATGAGAGACGCTGTGCTGCAGGCCTCAGCTCGTGCTCGGCATGCTCGCTGTGCCCAGACAAGCTAGGCACGCTGTGGCATCGGCATATGGAGTGCCAGGATGCATGGCCCAACCTCTCGCTGCCGATGGAGCTGGAGCGCTTAAAGGGCATGGGCGACTCCACCACGATCAGGACGCTGTTCGAGCGGCTGTGGCTATCCGAGCCACGCGCAGGGTGGGCGCCGCCTGGCGACGACCTCCTTGCACATGCGCAGTGGATCAAGGGCTACGAGGATGGCATGCCGTTTGCTGTTCCCGACTTGTACGCCGACGGTGCCTTCATCGACGGGGGAACCCAGATCGCTTGTGCTGGTTGTGCAGTGGTGGCCCTTCCACCAAGTGGTGACAGCGTGGACCCAGGGCCAGGGTCAGCCACGCGAGCCCTCGCCTCGCCACTGGCGGGGCCACTGCAGTCCATCGACGGGAGCGAATTGCTGGCGCTCCTCCTGCTCCTCAAGTTCAGTCTACCACCAGTGACGGCTCATTTTGACGCAGCATTTGTGGCGGACGGGACCAACGCCCGCGGGCCAAAGGCCTCTACGAGCAGCAAGTTAGCATGGGCCCAGATTCGGGTCCGAGTATGGCACGCGATTCAGGGCTTCGGAGGGCTAGGCGACGGCGGCCTGCGGGTTGCGAAGGTCAAGGCCCACGCCTCGGTGCAGCACGCGCAGGAAGGGCTGGTCACAGCCAGGGCGAGGCGAGGCAACATTGAAGCTGATCGGTGCGCCAAGTTCATCGCCAGAAGCACGGGGGCCACCGACGAGATCAGGCAGGTGATTCGTGCGAGGCAGACCATGCTTGATGCGGCGTTCTTCTGGGTCGCGATTGCTGGGAGCCAGGCGGCTGATGCCCGTGAAGACGTTGCTGATGAGGTAGCGGCCAAGCGGGAAGGCAAGATCCTCCTCCACCTCACGGGCCACGAGGTCGTCGAGGTCCCCAACGGAGGCATGCACTGCCTGCGCTGCTCGAGGACCGCCTACAGCGCCAACATCAAGGCCCACTTCTGGGCCAAGCCGTGCGCGGCTAAGCCGTGCGCACCCTTTCACTCAGGCGGCCCTGTGAGGAAGAGGCCTGCTCGAGCGGCACTGGCGACAGCGGCCACAGCAGCCGCAGCTTTTGCAGCGCTGGCGGCCAGCGAGGCAGGCGTGCAGGACGGACCGCCGCCCCCAAGGGAGCGCCGTTCTCGGACCCGCAGCCCTGTGGGGGGGGGCCCGTGGCCCCATTGCATGCAGCGGCGAGCCCAGGGCCAAGGTTCGCCTGGCGTTTCAGGAAAAGGTCGATTTCCTGCTTGCTGCTGCGACTGGCTCCTGCGCGAGCGGGACCGCGGGTGAGACCGACCGAGCTGACGGGGCACTCTCCGTTGGCGCCGGCGCTGGCCCATCGAGTGCCGCCTCGCCCATCTTTGAGCCTGCTCCCGCGCCGTCTGCAGCGCCCGCGGTCAGCGCACGGCACGGCAGCGGCCCGACTGTGCCCACTGGCGGAGCTGGTGGTAGCTCGGGGGCGGACCCGCCTGGCGCCGAGGCCGACCCAGAGTCTTGTGCCACCGCTGGGCTGCCTGCGCCCTCGGGGCCCCTCGCTGCCTCGGCCTCTGCGACTGCTGGCACAGGGGTACATGGGGTAGACGGCGGCGAGCACGTGCTGTGCACTGTCAATGGGTATCGCGTGTGCACACGCTGTCACTGCTATGACCGCGTGATTGGCGGCAAGCATAGGTGCTTGTCTGCCGAGTGCAAGTTGCCCGAGACCGCTCGAGGCCTGCAGCACCGCCTCGAGGAGGTCGCGAATATCAGACAAAGGGCTGCCACCGAAGGGGGCGCGCCCGACGGCGAGGGCAGGCTGAGGGGTTTGGCTTGGCAGCAGCGGGCTGGCCCTTTTGGCCAGCTCGTTTCCTTTGCTGCTCGGCTGCCCGAGGCTTTCGCCTGCCGCCGACAGCTGCCCTCGGCAGCTGTTCGAACCTGAGCTCGCGCCGCGCGAGCTTGGCCACACCTAACTAAGGCCCCAATGCCACCGCCCGCATGCGTCACCCACACCCATTTCGGCACACCTCTCATACGTTCCGTGGCTCCATAGGGAGCTCCACCGAAGGCGCCAGTGCCACCGCCCGCATGTGTCACCCACGCCAATTTCGGCACACCCCTGACACGTCTCGTGCCCCTTATAGTGATCTCCACCGAAGGCCCCAATGCCACTGCCTGCATGCGTCACCCACACCCGCTTCGGCACACCTCTCTCACACACGTTTCGTGGCCCCATAGGGAGCTCACCGGGGACCCCGGTGCCACCGCTCGCAAGCCTCACCCACACCCATTTCGGCACACGCGCTTCGTGGCCCCATAGGGAGCTCCACCGAAGGCCACAGTGCCACCGCCCGCGTGCGTCACCCATACCCATTTCGGCACGCCCCCTACACGATTCGCGGCCCCATAGGGAGCCCCACCGAAGGCCCCAATGCAACCGCCCGCATGCGTCACCCACACGCATGTCGGTACAGCTCTCATACGTTTTATGGCCCCATAGGGAGCTCCAACGAAGGCCCCGGTGCCACCGCCCGCATGCGTCACCCACGCCCATTCTGGCACACCCCTCACGCGCTTCGTGCCCCTATAGGGAGCTCCACCGAAGGCGCCAATGCCACCGCCCGCATGCGTCCGCAGCACACCCCTCTAACGTTCCGCGGCCCCATAGGGGGGCTCCCCCGACGGCCCCAGTGGCTGCGCTCGCATGCGTCACCCACGCAAGTCTGCCCACCCCTCACACGCTTCGTGGCCCCATGGGGAGCTCCAACGAAGGCTCCAGTTGCACTGCTCGCGTGCGTTTTTCCCACCCATTTTGGCACACCCCTCACGCGTTTCGCGGCCCCATAGGGAGTTCCACCGACGGCCCCAGTGGCTGCGTTCGCATGCGCCCACCGCACCTATTTCGGCACACCTCTCACACACGATTCGTGGCCCCATAGGGAATTTCACCGACGGCCCAAGTGGCTTCTTTCGCATGCGCCCACTGGAAACATGTTGGCACACCCACCACACGCTTCGTTGCCCCATAGGGAGCTCCTCCGAATGCGGTGCATACAACGACGGTGTTCACAACTGCATATGGTTGGGTCCTTCGCCAGGCTAATTTTTGATGAGGGCACAAGCGAAATGCAACATCGTAAAAAGTCGCGGCTGGAGTCGTATAGACCCTACTTGTCTACGGCATGTCTCGAGCCGGATCGATCCGTGTGGGTCCGGAGGCCAGAAACACGGCGAAATCGCGCCGTGCGCGAGGCATCTTCGTGTAGAGAGCCCGCCGTGTGCTTGTTGCCGCGGAGGTCCATCGAGGAGACGCCCATCGCCTCTGCCTCGCTGGCTCAGGCGACCGCCCAGCGAGCCGCCCCTGCCGCGCTGCTGGGCGAGGCTGCAGGGAGGGCGTCCGAAGACGAAGCCAGGACGAGGAGAACATCGGGCGAAGAGAAATCGGGAATCTCCGAGATCTGGCGCCTCCGGAGGATGTCTCGGGCGCCGCGGCCTTCCCAGAGCGTCCCAGAGCGCCCCGAGACCCTTCCAGAACGCTCCGGCAAGGATCTATCCTCCTATGTAGCCCCCCACCGACCAACCCGGTCAAGCGCAGCGCAGTCCCCCGGAGCGCTCTGGCACGGACTCACCCCAGGGGAATTCGAGAGAAGGGGTGGTACTGAGTATCGTTTATCCGGCCCCCATCCCCACCCCCATCCCCTTCGAGACACCCACCAAATTACCCCCCCCAGTTGGGGATACACCCTTCGAAACCCGAAGGGGACGGCCTATATCCCCATGTAGGGGGGTAAGTCACCAGTGGGGCCCAGGCCACGCCGCTTGGGATGGGGATCGGTCAAACGATACTCAGGTACGGAATCTGCTGCTCGCAGCTGGTTGCGGCCCAGCCGCTAGACGCAATCTTCAGCACATTGGCGGCTCCGCCGCCGGGAGGCTCCGGGAAGTTCTGGACGCTTCGCGGAAGCCCACCATGTTGCCGTTCCCCCCGCGCAGTCAGCCGCTGCTGGGTGAGCGGCTCGCGGCGCGTTTGGCTGCTAATTAGGCCGCTGTCGTGACCCGTAGCGCTTCTGACTCCGCTAGCGCCTTCGCTGGTGGACGCGACCGAAAAAATGTAAGCCACCATGGCCCTCCAGAAGCAGTGCCCAGGCGAGGTGCCCTGATCAGGGGGGCGCAGGAGCATGCAGTGGAATTGTGGGCAGGGGGAGCCGTCCGTCCCCAAGAGGGGGAGGATGGAGAAGGAGGAGGAGGAGGGGGAGGGGGAGGAGGAGGAGAAAGAGGAGGAGGAGGAGGACGAGGACGAGGACGAGGACGAGGAGGATGAGGAGGAGAAGAAAAGGAGGAGGAACAGGAGGAGGAGGAGGAGGAGGAGGAACAGACGGAGGAGGAGAAGGGGGAGGGCGAGCAGAATGGTCAGAAGCGTCTTGGGTGCCTTCCGGAGTCTTTTCGAATGTCTCTTTGGAGCTTCTTAGAGCCCTCCTGGGGCGTGCCTCTGAGGGATCTCTTGGAAGCTTCTTGGGGGCCTCTTGGGGTCCGCCTTGGACCTTCTGGGCGCCTCTCGAGTTCCTCTTGGGAACTTTGGGAGCCATCTTGGGGCCATCTTGGAGGAGGTCGACCAAAGAAGGGGGTACTCAATTAGCGCCCCACCCCTGGAGGCCAACATATGCCCAACACCTAGATCATATCAATTATGTTGGCCCTTTCGTCGAGGCCATCTTGGACGATCCAACAACCCGCCGCCCCCTCTCTCCTGGTCCAGGGGAAGGGGTCAGGGGGAGCGGTCAAGACACCCTCCCCGCCCTCCCAACACATAAGCAGCACCCGAGCCTTAGCATGTTCAGCGGCCGTCTATGGATGGACCGCTACTTGAAACCAAGGCAGGCCCCATGTGCGCGACTCTCGGCCGAGTGCGCCACGCGTGCCAGGCGTGCCAGGTGCGCCAGGCACCCCTGGGGGCCAAGCGTGCCAGGCACGCCCGTCACGCCATGTGCGCCACTTGCTCCACGTGTGTCATGTGTGCCGCGTGGTCCAGCCGCGCCAGGTGCGCTATGTTCGGGGCACGCGGGGAGTGGGCCAGGTGCGCCCGCGCACGCGCAAGTGGCCATTCACCATCTCTGTCGGCAGCAAATGCACAATGGTGGTAGGGAAGCCGTCATGGTGTCTGGTGTGCCTGCACACAGCGGGCAATGTACCAGCCCCCCCTCCGTCCTTGTCGAACACCAATAGACACTGACCGCGGGGTGGCCCCGCATAAGCAAGATTTAGCCGCGCAGTTTATTTTGTGTATGGCTTTTGACGTGGATGGTAGCCTTGCACGCAGGAGGCAATCTGATCATCTCCCCGCTGTTTTTGTCAGGAAGCAATGCTCAGTGCTTGCGGAGCCCACGAGCATAACCCAAGATTTTGCCCCAGAGTGTGTTTTGTTTTTTGTTGACGGGGATGGTGTGTGTGTGTGTGTGTGTGTCATTGTTCTTGGTTGGCTGCGGGCCGCCTGGATGAGGGGTGTTTATTGATAGGGAACAGTTGACCCTTCTCCCAAGGCGAAATAGGGTGACGGAAGAGGGCATGCTTCTAAACGATTTACGCCCTAATGGGCTGGTGGAATTCAGCTTCGTAAGCTGACTCGCTACCCGTTCTTTTGCCACCACCCCAGGATGCAACTCCTGGGAGATTAAACTCTGAAACGGAGCTGGTATATCCTTGGTCAAAAACTAGCCTAATCCGGATGAGTCCCGCTGAATCCGCTAGAATCAGGTTCAATCTTGGGCATACTCCGGCCTGGTCCGGCTCAATGGCCCTTCAATCGGGCCCAATAGTTTCCAACCGTTCCAACGAAGACCTCACAGGAGTAGCCTTCTGACCCCCCCTTCTCGTCCGACCCGACACTCGGAGGACCTCCCTCCCCTTCTCTCCCCAGACCTCCAGCGACTCGACGCATCGCTCCAGAGGTTTTTCGCAACTGTCCACGTCCTCGGGCCGCTTCGGGGCCTGCAGGGCCCAAGTCGGCGGCGAGCGAGGTGGGGAAAGTGAGAAGGGGCGGGCCTTCTCACAAGGCTCAGAAGCCCCCCGGCTTTCTGAGACATGCTCTAAGCCCTCTGCGAAGACAGACAAGCACTTCTCAGAAGGCGCGAGGGCTTCTGAGAGGTCCCGCCGCCTTCTGAGAAGGCCTTCTCCTTCTCTCCTCCTCCTCCTCCTCTTCCTCCTCCTCCTCCCTCCTCCTTTTCCTCCTCCTCCTCCTCCTCCTCCTCCTCCTTCTCCCTCTCCTCTCCCCCCCCCTCGCTCGCAGCCCGCCAAGGGCCCTCGGAGCAAAGACGGCCCGAGGTGCGAGCCCGGGCTCCGGGTCCGGGGTCGAGAGCTCCGGGAGGCCCATGTGGGCCGCTCCCAGGCAGGGGCCTCGCCTTCGGGGGAGCGAGATTGTATATTACACACTTCTCGATTTGTGCGTGTCATCCTTGCGCGGGGGCCATGCGAATCTTCTCTGTGTCGTTCCAATGTTAACGTATGATCCCCGAAGGCAATCCTTAGGGGGATCGAGAGGTTGATCTCTCCTCCTCGGCGGACGGCGGGCGCGGGCCGCGGAGGCAGACCCGAGGGCGGCTCCGCCAGAGGAAGACCAGCGGGAGCCGACGGATCGCCCCCCCCCCCCCCAAGAGTGGCGCTTGACTTCCGCGGCGCTCGAGGCGCCCTGTGTGCATCGCAGATGGCAGAAATTCGGGTGTCAGACCTTTCTGCGTTTCTGTCCGGGGCCCGAGCGAGGACACTTTTTCACACTCCTGTGGAGTCGCTGAGAGATGCGCGGGCTGCGAGGCAGCCCCCCTTTGCATGCTAAAAGAGATGCCAGGTCATGCATATCGTCAGTCCTCTGCTTGTCAAGCGTCTTGAGGGCGGCTCGAGAATATATGGTTGTTGGTGTTCAGGTTTTCCGACGCCAGGTATGTCACAAAGATGACGACGCAGGTCCAGGTTCTCTCTTTGGCCCTCTTCTCCCCGCATAGATTCCCCCCCCCCCTTCCCACAGGGTGCTTGTGGACACTGTCCTGGAACTCTTACCCTTCCTCTTACTCCTCACGGCGTGCTTCAAGAGCTCGGGTGCTCGCCGTGGGAGGCGCAGGATGGAGGACAGGCCCAGAGGCGCAGGGGGGATGGGTGTATTGAATTGTTCTCCCGTGCATGCCTCACGCAAGTCGTTTTGTATGCTCAGCATCGGCTGGACCAAAAGCCCCTCCCTTTCCCTCCGCTGCCAGCCGGGCAGCGGCGCGACGGGCTGCGCGGCCTATTCCCCGGAGACGCCCGCGCGTCGAGCGGAGGTAGAGAAGCGCGGGGGCGAGGAGGGGAGGAGTTGTGCGGGGGAGGAGTGGGTATCAGGGAGGAGGGAGGGAGACGTCGGGCGATCGCAGACATGGATCAGGGGGGCGTGGCTTAGCGACGCGTCCCGTTCCCATGGGGAATCGCGGATTTCCGCCGCCGAGCGAGGCGGCACTGGCCGCATTTTGGGGAGGGCACCTCCCCCGATGCATGGATTTGGCGACCGCGCGTTAGATTTTGGATCGCTGATCCTGTGCGCCCCGGATGAGGGTGGAAGGAGGGAGAAGGGAGGAGGCCTCCAGGGTCAGTTCTTTGGGTCTTCCAGGGCCTCTGGGGGGCCTCTTGGGAGACTGCTGGCGGTCTCGGGGGCGATCTTCGAGGGACGGCTCGGGAGGTCAGGTCGGATTCGCCTTCAGGATAAGGGGCCCTCTTAGAAGCCTCCCAAGGCTTCTTGAGAGGCCTGGTGGACAGTCCTCGGGCCCACTTGGGCGGTCGCGTGGCCGTCCAGGGAGAGCCTCCGGGGCCGACGTTGGGCGATCTTGGGGGCCTCGTGGATTTTGGGCCGTGTTGAGCCCATGAGCTTCCGAAGAGAAAACGCTGGAGGATGGTTCAGACACGTCTTCGGGGCCGCTTCCGCTGTCCTCCCGGAGCGCTCTCGGAGGCCCGCCTTTGGGCTGCGTGAGGCGGCAGTGGGCTCCCTCCAGGGCGCGGAGCTGCTCGCGCTCCGCGGATCGGCGCCGACTCCTCCCCCGTCCTCTTTCCTTGGCATCGCTCGGACGCGTGCATTTTTCTTTCGGCGAGGACCATCGAGGAGCATCCTTGATCACTTGGCGAAAAAACCACGCACGAAACCGAAAAAAACACAGGAAATGGACGTCCGAGCAATGGCCAGTTTCCCTCCCAAGAGGGCGGCGCGAGCGCGCGACGCGCTTCGCGCTCTCGCGCAGCGCGGAGCGCGCACTTCGAAGCCCTCGGCTTGGGTACCTCCTGGGCCGGCTCCCGGATCGCCCTGCCACTCCCGAATATTGTTATAGTGGCCTCCGGCCGGTGCCGCCGATCCGGGGCGCTCCGGAGGAACAAGAGAGGAGGCTCATCATGCCCACGGACGTGGACGTCGTACTCGTGATGATGAGCTTCAGTTGGCGTGCAAGCAGGGTTCGATAAAAACGGAGGAGGAGGTCCAGGAGGACCAGGGCCTACTGGGGGCCTGCATCTCCCGAGTACATCGCGCTCGGGAGCCCCGAGGCCCCGCCCAGAAGAAGGCACCTCTGCCCCGGCTGAATTTCTTCGTGCTTCTCGGCTGTTCTCGTGCCTCCTGGGGGGGGTACCCTTTGACGTTTGGCAGTCTGGCCGGCCGGGGGCCTCATGTGTTTGAAGGATGCTCCTCTGGCATTGGTCCGACTGGTCCCGTTGGTCTTGCGAGTCTAGTTCTGTGCCGTTGCCCCGTGTACTTGCAGAATTTCGCCCAGGTGTCGCGTCCCCGCGGCGGTCTTGGTAGTGCCTTGTAGGCTCACTTTGGGCGATATGTCGGGGCTTCTGTGTGTGTATTCCGGCGGGATCCAGGCATTGTAATGAAATTGCGGAGGAAGTCGCAATGTTTTCGCAGGGTCGTCGCCCAGCGTGAGCTAACCTCATGGATTCGCTGCAACGTGGCAGGCAACACAGTAAAGGGGAGCAGATCGATCATTTAGACCACGAATACGTCCAGTCCTGAGATCTCGATTCGCCGATTCTGAGGTCAAGCACTCTTGTTCAAGCCAGTGCATCCGCTGACTGTTAAGAAATCGACAATCCACTCTGATGCACATCCTGGGGGTCAACTTCTGAGTTTGCCCTGGTCCGAAATCCGGCTTAATCCTGTTGAATTCGGCTCAATTCCGCTTAATCCGTCTCAATCCCGTTTCCGCCGGCTTAATCTCGCATAATCCGCGGCCTAATCCGCCGTATCAGCCCCCCGTTGGGGTTCAAACGTCCTGAATCCTTCCGACGAAGACCTCCCAGTAGTTGCCTCCTTCACCAAAAATCCATGACGTCCTGGGGTCTCAGGGTTGGGCTTCTTGTGGGAGGTGTCTTGTGGTCTGGCCCCTGCTGTAGCCGATTCTGGGCTCAAGCACTCCTGTTCGAGCCAGCGCATCCACTGGCTGTTGCGGCGTCGACCACCCATGCGGGTGGCCGTGGTCGGTGCAGGCAGCATCGCCCGGGAGTTTGCAACGACGCACTTCGGAGCAGCCACGGGCACGCACGTCGCCTGCATTGTGGACGTGGACGCGGGTAAGGCTGCAGCGTTGGCTAACCCAGGGATGCCACGCGAGTCGCAGCCTGATGGCATGGACCCCAGGAGGAGGAGGAGGAGGAGGAGGAGGAGGAGGAGGAGGAGGAGGAGGAGGAGGAACATGTACCCATACCGCTACCTTTTCCTCGTTTTCCTCGTTTTCCCCTCGTTGGGCCTCCTCGGAGGCCCTCGTCGCCACCGCTTGCTTCGCCTCGAAATTCGGGTCAGAACGCCCCCCAGAGAGGTCCAGGGAGTAGCAGTATCTGTACTTCTGGGTTTCCCCAAGGAGGAGGAGGAGGAGGAGGAGGAGGAGGAGGAGGAGGAGGAGGAGGAGGAGGAAGAGAACGACGACGACGACAGCCCCGAGAAGCCCGACGACGACGACGACGACGACGACGACGCCGAGCGACGGGGGGCGAGGGACGAGGACCGGTGATGGCGGTATGCGTTTGCAGCGGCCTTTTCCGTCCTCCACCAGTCCACCCCGGCCGCGCATAATACCCTTTGTGTGGACTGGGAGGCCCCTATCCTCTCCAATCCAATCTGCCTCATCCCCCCTCCCCCTCCTTCTCGGTGTCTTCTCCTCCGTCCTCCCCCCCCTCCCCCTCATCCCCCTCACCCTCCTCCCCCTCTCTGCCCTCGACCTCTCCTCAGGGGGGAGTTCGAGGGGAGAGAGGGGCCTGTCCTGGCGTCCTGGGTTGCCCCTCTCCACACCTGGCGTTGAGCGTGAAGCCCCGGCCCACTGTCGGCCATGCGCACTATTGCGGCTGGCCTCTTCGCCACGGCCTGGGGCAGCAGCAGGGCGTCGTGGAGCGAGAGCACCCCCCCCCAGGAGATTTTATCGGCGAGGCGCGGCCGATGGCTCGGGTTTCCAGGACCAGCTTTCAAGTCGGGCACGCCCCTCTACAGGAGTAATATTCAAAAAAACATCAAAAATAGTCTCGGGACGATGTGTTGATATCTGTTGGGCATGTGTGGACATGTTTCGACTTTTTCTTGTTCGTCTTCCAAAACCCGCCTGCAGGGGGACATGCCGGACCGAAGGCAAGCCCCACGTTGGATCGGAAGCCAGGCGAAGGTTGGCAAAGCCGTGGCTGTTAAAACGGAGCTTCGGGAATGTGTTTCGTCTTCCAGGAAGCAGCCCGTTTGCTATTTAGTGCGCTGAGCTTTGCTCCGGGAGTTTGTGCATTTTTCCGGGAAGACCGTTTCAGTAGCCATGGATTTTCGGGGGCGGCACAGAGGGGGGTGATGACTAGCGGGGGTGGGTATCATGGCGGGGGCCCATGATATCACCCCAGAGTTCATGGCGCCTCTTCTTGATTCATTACGCCCCTGGCACCCCCGCTGGGCCGCGCACGTGCCGCCGGCCATGATTTGCACCCCCCCCCTCTTGGACACCCCCCTCTTGGCCGCTCCTGAGAGAAGCCGGCCCCGTGAAACTTGTCCAGATTTACGTTGATCGATTTGGTAAACATTGGGTATCGCCAGGATCACAGTTGAGAGGAGCTGGTCAGTGATGGGGCCCGACGCCCAAAACACAGGCCATAATCACCAAACCAAGTCTGCCGTAGTTCCCTACCTAGGCTCTGCCTAGAAGGGTTCTTACTCTCTTGGCTTAAAGGGGCCGGGCAGTGGGAACCGGCCCGGGCGGTTCCCCCAGTATCCGCCCCGCGGTTCCCCCAGTCCCCTGGGAGCTTTAGCTTTAGCTTCAGCTTCAGCTTTAGCTTTAGCTTAGCTTCAGCTTAGCTTCAGCTTAGCTTCAGCTTAGCTTTAGCTTAGCTTTAGCTTAGCTTCAGCTTAGCTTCAGCTTAGCTTCAGCTTAGCATCAGCTTGGCTTCAGTTTAGATTCAGCTTAGCTTTAGCTCAGCTTTAGCTTAGCTTTAGCTTAGCTTTAGCTCAGCTTCAGCTTAGCTTCAGCTTAGCTTTACTGTTACTACTAATGCTGCTTCCCTAGGGGCTCCAACTCCTATGTACGGTCGCACTGGCATCATTTTTCCTTTTTTTGTGATGGCACCTGCCGCCCCCGAGGTGTGCCAGCCCCTCGCCCGGCGTCCGATTGGGAGCGCGCGCTGCCCGGGCCCCCCTCGGAGCTCTCCGGGACTCCGGGCCCAGAGGCGCCCGCGCGGGGGGCCCGCCCGCGGAGCTGCCCTCGGCGCGTGGGCGCCGAGGGCAGCGAGGAGCGCATCCTCAATAGCAAAAATAGCCCCCCAAAAAAACTGAATAAAAAAGCAAAAAAAAAAGTAAGAACATAGCAAAATAGCAACAAACATAGCAAACCCTCCACAGGGGGAGCATTCCAGAATAGTAAAAAAATAGTCAGGGGACTATTTTTGAGCCTGTTTTCACCATTTGGGGGCATTTCACTATTTTGAGCCTGTTTTTCGTCGAAAATCCCCCTGTAGGGGGACACGCCCGACTTATTCGTATCCAGAGGCTGCCTGCGCTGGTCTCTGGGCCACGCCAGGAAGCCGAGCCCGAACAGGTGCTCCTGCAAATGTTCGTCTGGGGGGTTTCTGCGAAGGGCTTGGGCGACCCGTCCTCCTCCTCTCTCCTCTCCTCCTCCATTCCTCCTCCGTTCCTTCTCCTCCTCCTCCTCCTCCTCCCTCGTTGGGGGCCATGCCAGGAAGCCGAGCCCGAATAGGAGTCGGGAGCCTTGAGACGGGGGTCAATGTTATCGGGGGTCAGCCAGAGCGCCAGATCTTGCAGGATCCTGCAGGGCCGGGGTCGCATTGACCCGGGTTGGGGCGCAGGATTCTGGAGGATCCCGCAGGATCTTTCGCATTGACCCGGGTTTGGGCGCAGGATCCTGCAGGATCTTGCAAGACCTGATTGATCCGGGTCTGGATTGACCCAGGTCAGAAGATCCCCGAAGAAGCTCCTGCAAATGTTCGTTTGGGGGGTTTCTCCGAAGGGCTTAGGCGACCCGTCCTCCTCCTCTCTCCTCCTCCGTTGCTTCTCCTTCTGCATAACTTCTCCCTGTCGCACCCCGAGGCCAGTTTTTTTAAGGCGGGCCGGGCGTCTCGCCTGAGACGTCCTCACCATCTATGACCCTGAAGCTTAACAATTGGCAGCAGTTTCGCAGATGGAAGGCGGGTGGTTTTCAAGATGTGGCTCCCGCGCCAGCGCCGCGCACATTCGGCTTGAACACTGGCAAGAGTGTCACGGATTGAGGGCGGGCCGTTTTTCCAAAAAGTGGCTCTCGCCTCAGCGCCGCGCACATGCTGTTCTATCAATTTCAAGAGGTTCACGGATTGAGGGTGGTTCTTTTTCAAAGTGTGGTTCTCGCTTGAGGGCCGCTCGCACTCGCTTTAAACATTTGCAAGAGGTTCACGGATTGAGGGCGGTTCTTTTCCAAAATGTGTTTTCGCGTTAGCGCCGCACACATTAACGTTTCAAAGCTGCAAGAGTTTCATTTGATTGAAGGCGGCTCCTTTTCAAAATGAGGCTCTCGCTGTAGCGCCGCGCACACCCTGGACACAAACTTGCAAGAGTTTCACGGGTTCCCATGGTCGACGTACCAGAAGCGGTGTTTTGGAAGGATTCACGATTTTGAGTGCGCAACAGTTCGGATGAGTTGGGGAGTTCAGGTCACAGGATTGGCGTTCTGGCACGAGTCACTCGTTGGAACACCGAGAAAAATGTTTTGGCATGCTTCAGGCAGGGTTTTCAAACAGTTGTCTTTCAACGAGGCAGGTCCCTCTGTGGAAATGAACCGTTGTATGGGGCCCATGAAGAGGGAGCTTGGGGGGAGGGTGTATTCCAACATCGTTGGTGACTCTTGGGTTTACACTGGTCCTCCTCCTCCTCCTCCTCCTCCTCCTCCCACTCCTCCTCCTCCATCTCCTCCTCCTCCTCCGACTCCTCCCCTCCCCCTCCTCCACCTTCTCCTCCTCCTCGGGTTGCCTATGGCCCAGGGGGAAACCGTGCAGGTCCAACCGAGTAGTCCGCCCGGACCTCCGAACCTCTGTGTTCATGTGGTTGTGTCCTCTGTTCCAGTCGAGTTTGCTTTCGGGCGCGCTGCCCCCCTCTGTAATGATTGCCTCATTCGGACGGGTCTGGGACGAGGACAAATCCGTTCCACCGCAGCGCCCGAGACATTCTTCGGAGCCGCCAGGTCTCAGAGATCCTCGATCTGTCCTCACCCGATGGCATCCTCGTCCTAGCTTCGTCTTATTCATCGTGGCTGCAGGATGCCTGTGGCATCCCTGCCGAGAGACGTGGGCAGCATCCGGGCTGGCGCCAGGGTGGTGGGCAGCAGCGGCTACCGTGCGGGAGCCGACGTGCAGCGGGGCTCGCCGGTGCAGCACTACGCGGAGCTGACGGACACCGTGCTGGATGCCTGCGACTGCGTCTACGTAGGGACCTCGGCGGCCGCCGCGGCCGCCGTCGGCACCGAGAGCTTCGAGGGGAGGAGGAGGAGGAGGAGGAGGAGGAGGAGGAGGAGGAGGAGGAGGAGGAGGGAGGAGGAGGAGGAGGAGGAGGAGGAGGAGGAGGAGGAGGAGGAGGAGGAGGAGGTGGAGGAGGAGGAGGAGGAGGAGGAGGAGGAGGAGGAGAGAGGAGGAGGAGGAGGAGGAGGAGGACCAGGAGGACCAGAGGGAGCCTGTTGGATGCACCAGCGATGCTGCATGGCACCCTCCCGTCCGAAGCCCCCGCTGGACGGGTCCCTGCAGGCCCCCCCTTCTCCACCGGCAAGGAGCGCCCGGTTGAGAGACGATCGCCAGATGGGCCGGCCGTCCAGGCGAGTGTCCCGCTTTGACAAGGGGCTGCCTGCATCCGCCCAGCGAACGATGCAGTGGGGGCCCATGCCAAGAAACACCCTGCTTGCCTCCAGGGTGCCCCGGGCCTCTTGGGCACAGAGGAAAGAACGAATGCCCAGAAACACCCTGCTCGCCCTCAGGGTGCCCTGGGGTTCTTGGATTTCGATGGTTCTGCGATGGAAAGCGTGACTTTCCCACTCCAAAAACCGATGGACGTCCTGGGGTCTTGTGGCTTGTGGAATGGCCTCCACTGTAACGATTCCGAAAAAGTTTGATCACAAAGTTCAGCAGTGCATCCAGCGAGAGCACCGCTTTGGACATGGGCCGCCTCGCACCCGCGAGTATGTTGCGCAATGTTTCACATATGGTCATTAAGTTGAGGAAGTCTCAAACGAGAGGCAAGAGCCTTCCTCGCCTCCCGATGGCGCCCCGGGAACCCACAGATGCCCCGGGGGCAGCCCAAGAAGCTCAGAGATCTCTGCGAGGAGTATGCCCCCGTGAGTGGATGAGGAGGACGAGGAGGAGGGAGGAGTAGGTGGAGGAGGAGGAGGAGGAGGAGGAGGGAGTAGGAGGAGGGAGAAGGAGGGAGGAGGAGGAGGAGGAGGAGGAGGAGCAGGAGGAGGAGGAGGAGGAGAAGAAGAGGGAGGAGGAGGATTAAGTCTGCCCTGTCCCTCCTACAGGGAAAATGTTCAAAACTAGTCAAAAAATAGTCTGGGGACCATGTTTTGACTATTTTGGCACATGTTTGTGGCATTGTTGGGGTCATTGAAATTGTTCGTCCAACATCCGCCTGTAGGGGTACTCGCCCGACCTAAGAGGAGGAGGAGGCGGAGGAGGCGTTGCAATTGGCAAAGCTTCTCCTCGCGCGCTCCCGCCACGGCGCGAGGGCCCCCCCGTAGGACCCTCCGCTCGTGCGGTTACAACCAGGTGTTTTTCTTTTATTTCAACAACGATCATCACATTTAATTGCCCACAAGCAAAATCAATGTAAAGTATATGTTGGAATTGTTCTTGCTTCTACACGGTTTCCAGAAGCATCGACAATCATAATCAATGTATAAGCCATGTTTGAATTGATTCTGACTGTGAGGATTTCCAGAGGCAGCGCCTTGGGGCCGCGGGAGCTTACCAGGAAAACATGAAACAACAAAAAAACATGGAAAACAATAAGAAACTTGTGCTCTCACACGGGGTAATTGGAAACATATGGAACACTTGTTACTGTCGCCGTTTTTTTAATTGGTGAAACCAACTAAAACGCTGACAGTCACAGGTTGTCCTCGTTGTTTTGTTCTTTTTCATATGAGAACGCATGGTTTCTGTGGTTCCCCTTATTTTCCGAAAGGGAACACAGAAGTTTTTTTATTGTGTTTCATGTTTTCTCTGTTTTCCTGGTAAGCTTCCGCGGCCCCAGTTTTCCTCCAGCGCCTTGGGGCCGCGGAAGACTACCAGGAAAACAAACAAAAACAGGAGCAACAGCAAACAACAGTTGTTTTCACATAAAAATGGAAAACTCGTGATTGTCGCAACTTTTATTGGTGAAACCAACGAAAACGCTGACAGTCACAGGTTGTCCTTGTTTTTTTCATATTTTCCTATACGAAAGCACACATTTTCCTTGGTTGTCCCTATTTTCACAAGGACAACACATGTTTTTTATTATTTTTTATTTTTTTTCATGGTAAGCTTCCGCGGCCCCAGTTTTCCTTCCGCGCGTTGGGGCCGCGGAAGATTACCAGGAAAACCATAAACATCATGACCAAAACTAACAAACTTTTGTTTTTCACCAGGAAAAATATGAACAATAAAGGAAACATGTGACTGTCGCCATCTTTATTGGTGAAACCAAACCAAAGAACATGCTGACATTCAGCTGACAGTCGCAGATTGTCCTTTGTCTTAAATAATTATATTATATATATATATACATATAATCCCTATGACAACACATTGTTTCCGTGGTTTCCCATATTTTTTCTTCGCGAAACACAAGCTTTTTTCTGTCATTGCTTATGTGTTCCTTGTTTTCCTGGTAAGCTTCCGCGGCCCTAGTTTTCCTCCAGCGCCTTGGGGCCGCGGAAGCTTACCAGGAAAACAGGAAAAAACATGAAAAAGCAATAAGAAACCTTGGCTTTCATAAGGACAAATATGAAAAAGAAAGGAACACAAGTGACTGTCGCCACTTTTATGGGTGAAACCAAAGAAAGCCCTGTCAGTCACAGGTTTTCCTCTTTTTTGGTTGTTTGTTATTTGTCCATGTGAGAACACAGGTTTTCTGTGGTTTTCCCGGTTTTTCAATGTGAAAACACATGTTTGTTTTGTTGTTCATGTTTTTCCGGTTTTCCTGGTAAGCTTCCGCGGCCCCAGGGCGCCGAATGGCCCGACATTCAGGCGGGGCGGCAGAATTGGCCGAAAGCCATGCGATACTTTACGTCAGCGCAGAAGTACGTTTTCCATGAGGCCACCGTTCACTCAAAGATGTGCCACCGAAACAACAGATGTGCGCAACTACAGGACTGAGGTTTACACCTTGGGCAACCAGCTAGCGCCTTTGGCGCTTTGCTGGCGCGGCGGCGCTGCTGAGCTTACGCCTGTTACTCTTCTTCGCCACCTTCGGGCCCTGCCACTCCTCTACTGCCTTCGGGGGATTGCCCATGGCCGAAGACGGGTGTGAAACGCGGCCCGCAGAAGAAAAACTTGAACATAGATGCGTATTACAGGCACACTTACAATGACAATGATGATTAGGTTTGCAATGGGATTGCAATAAGAAATCGAGAGGACCTCCGCACCTCCTCCCCCTGTTCTTCCAACAGAAATCGGGAAGAGCATGAAAACGAGACCAAGGATGATCAGGAGGAGGGGGAGGAATGAAGGAAACATACAGTGAGAGACACTGGAAATAACAAACACGATGTACCTGTACAATGAGCAAACTGATCGTCCATACCGTTCCGATCGCTAGGAATTCGATCAAGAAAGCGCTGTTGGAATCATGCAAACAGCGGGTCGCACAGGGGCCCCCCCCCCCTTGAGGGGGGGGCGGAGGCCGCCGCTCCTGGCCCGGGGGGCCTCCCAGGACCACGCCCTCCTCGCACGCGGCGCTGGCGCTGCGGGCCCTCCGGGCCGGGAAGCACCTGCTGCTGGAGAAGCCCCTCTGATGGGCAGGTTCTCCACCACCGCTGTCACAGGCAGGAAGGGAGGAGGAGGGCGAGGAGGAGGGCGAGGACGAGAAGGAGGAGGAGGAGGAGGAGGAGGGCGAGGAGGAGGAGGACGAGGAGGACCTCCCCATCCTTTTCCTCCGTCCTGACCTATGGCAGTGGTGATGGGACATTGGCCCATCATCCTCGCCGCGTCGGCGGCGGACGCCGACGCCATCGTCGAGGCCTCGGAGCGAGCGCTGTCGGAGCAGGTCGGGCCGGCCTCCTCCTGCTGGTCCGAGCTTGCTGCTTGTTTCGGCGGCGACGATAGGGGCGAATAGCCCAGGGGCGGGCAACACACGCATTCGCCCGGGAGCCTTTTCGAAGACATAGATCATCGTTGCATTTGGATGCATGTGTTGCTCCCCCCTGGGCTATTCGCCCCTATCGTCGCTTCTGATTGTTGCAGCCCGCGCTGCGCCTGCCGCAGCTGCTGCTCCTGCGTCTCGCCCGCGGCCTCTGCTGCCGGAACTGCCTGCTGCCCCTCGTGTGTTCTCCGCTGGTTCCTCCGCGCGGCTGCTGCTGGTCGTGCGCGGTGTCGTCGTCCTCGCGCCTCCGCCGCATGTTGCTGTGTTCTTTCCCCTCTGCTGCTCATCACGCCTCTGCTGCTCACCTTCCCTCCTTTGATGGGCCTGGTTTTCCGCCACCACCACCACCATGAGTTGGAGGGGGAGAGGGTCCTCCTCCTCTTCTTCTTCCTCCTCACCCTCTACCTCCTTCCCCCCTTCAACTTATGGTGGTGGTGGTGGAAACCAGGCCCATCATCCTTTGCGGCTCATTCCTCCTCTGCGGCTCATCCTTTTTCTGCTGTTTCCTCCTTCGCCTCGTCTGCCTTTCCCTCTCCTTCCGCCCATCCGTCCTCACTCCTCATGAAGGGGGGGGGGGGCTCGGGGGCTCTCAGGGGAGTTCTGGAGGGCCTCTTGGGGGTGGAGGTTGTTCCTGCCGTCTTTGGCGTGGTGGTTCTATCGAGCTCTTCCCAAGAGACTCGTCGGAACCATGGTGGTGCCGTCTTGTCGGGTCTTGGGACTGTCTTGAAGGGTTACATGGGGCGGTACGGGGCCGTCTTGGAAGGTTATTTATCGGGCCATTTTGGTGGCTTGGATGTTTCGTGTCCCGTTGCTCTCATGGGTCGGATTGGGTCTTATTGGTGCTTGCATGAAGCACCCGTAGGGCGATGAGCCCGGGAAGTACAGCGGTGGACAGTCTAATTCTCATTGTGACGGCAGCCCGGGTGGGCTATTCGATCCCAGCCGATCAGCCGATCAGGCGCCTACCAGCCGATCAGCCGATCAGCCGATTAGCCTTATCGGCTGATCGGCTGATCGGCTGGTCGGCGCCTGATCGGCTGATCGGCTGATCGGCTGGTCGGCGCCTGATCGGCTGATCGGCTGATCGGCTGGTCGATCGCTGATCGGCTGATCGGCTGATCGGCTGGTCGACCGCTGATCGACTGATCGGCTGCCGTCCAGTTCCCCTTGAGACATCCTCGCAGCTCCGGGCTCAGAGGTCTCCTGACCCGAGGTGGTCGGGCCAGTCTCGCCTGCGACATCTTCCTGTCTTTGGGTTCGGAGATGCCCCGCACGAGGTGGTCCATCCAATTCCGTCTGAGACCTTCTCGCAAGTCCAGGCTCAGAGATCCCCTGACCTGAGGTGGTCGGGCCAGTGTCGCGTGAGACATCCTCGCAACTCCGCGCTCAGAGGTCCCCTGACCTGAGGTGGTCGGGCCAGTTCCGCCTAAGGCATCCTCGCAACTCCGGGCTCAGCGATCCCCTGACCTGAGGTGGTCGGGCCAGTCTCACGTGAGACATCCTCGCAACCCCGGGCTCAGAGATTCCCTGACCTGAGGTTGTCGGGCCAGTCTCGAGTGAGACATCCTCGCAACCCCGGGCCCAGAGATCCCCTGACCTGAGGTGGTCGGGCCAGTGTCGCCTGAGACATCCTCCCATCTTTTGGCTCGGAGATGCCCCGCGCGAGGTGGTCCGTTTCCTCGCTCATTTCTCTACTCTCTCTCTTTCTTTCTCTCTCTCTCTCTCTCACTCTCTCTCTCTCACTCTCTCTCTACTCTCTCCTTTCCCTTCAATTTAGTTATCCTCGTTCCTTGTCGTCGTCGTTGTCGTAGCGTCCGCTTTTCTTCCGAACGCATTTTTGCTCGAGATCTTCACGTCGATACATCGATTTTCAAATCCATTTCACTTCTTACATATCTAATGGCCTTCGGCTCATCCCGCCACCGTGCCTAGGCTGTGGGGGCCCCGTGGTGGCCTCTTGGGTGCCTCTGGGGGCTTCCCAGGGGCTTTTCGGGGCCGAGGGCTCGAATTGTCCGTTCGGATTCCCCGTTGGGGCGTCCTCTGGGATCCGTCTTCGGCCTCTCTTGGGCCGTCTTGGTGGCCTCTTGGGCCGTTTTGGTGCCCTCTTGGGCCGTTTTGGAATCTCTTGGAGATCTCTTGGGGCGACAGATTGGGTTCGGGACCCGAGTATACGCCCATTCCGTGCAATGGCACGGTGGCAGATTCTGGCGTGTCTACCGCCGTAGGCCCTTCTAGCTGCGAGGGCGCATTCGGCAATCGCCTACGGCAACCAATCGCCTACGGCAACCCCCGCCGTTGCGTACAAGGAGGGGGGGAGGAGGCACGCGCCAGGAGGACGCAAGGGTAACGTCAGGAAAGGGGGGCAGCGAGTGGAGAAAACGAGATTCAAGTTGGAGCAGTGAGCAAGTGGATGGCCAGGACAGGAGAGTGAGGAAGTGGAAAGAGGAGGAGGAGGAGGAGGAGGAGGAGGAGGAGGAGGAGGAGAAGGAGGAGGAAGAGGATGAAGATGAGGGAGAGGGGGAGGAGGAGGAGGAGGAGGGGGAGGAGGAGGAAGAGGAGGAGGAACAGGAGGGGGGTGATTTTTGCACCACGCCCGACTGGCCTACCAGGGGCCTAGTTCTCGGATTGCTACAATCCGCAACCGTGCTGCTTGACGTGGGCGGTGGTGCCGTGACAGCGCCGAGCAGCAGCGACGTCGCGGCTTGGCTGACGTCCGGTGATGGGGCCAGCGCTGGACCCCTCCGTGACGACTACCTGAAGGTAGTGGCGGGCCTTGGGCAAAGGCCATTCGATTGCCTGCGGCAATTCCAAGCCCTGTGCCAGCGTAGCGGGAGCTCTCGTTCAGTAAGTTGCCCTGCCAGACAACCCCAACGGCTCCCGACATGCCCGGCCACGAAAACAAACGTGGTGACGGATGGCGCCGTATGTCCACATCGTATGGCGTGTCACGGAGCGACGAAACTGGAAGCGAGCGCTCGACGCTGAGCTTGGCGCTCGCCCTGAAAACGGCGATTCTGGAGCGCGCCCTCGACCAGTACCGGGATTTCCTTTCGAAGACTCATGCATCCACAGCAGAGAGGTATCCATTTCTCGGCTGGCTCTGCAGTCCACGCCTGGGCGGGAAGATCACTGGCAAATCTGATGCGCAGCGGTGCCGGGAGCTCGACCTCAGTTGCGCCGCGTGTCGGGCTCTCGCTGCGTTCGAACACCCGGGCCAAACCACGCGCAATAACGACCAGACATGCATTTACGGCGTGGCGTTGTCGGAGGACGCGATGCGAAACGCCATCAATCCAGCTAGAAAGAAGAGGCCCGCGTGGGTTGATACCCAGATGCCAGACGCGCTCAATTACGACCCCTACAGCACCGCCCAGCACTCTGCCACATCCAATAATTTCACACCGCAGGATCGCATGGCCCACAGTCCCGGGTCGCTGTCGACGAGCTTAGGCCACGACGCATGGTTCAAGAGGAGATGCTTCGCGGAGCGGGTTCAGACCATGGTGAATTTCCGGCAGCGGCGGGACGCGATGATGCAATTGCGCGGGGTGGAGAATTCATTGGTGTGTTCTGACCTGGCTTGCTTGGCGCGCGTGAATCCCCGGTCCCGCCTCGATGCCAAGGCGACCGTGCAGGCGTATGAGCATTGCGAGAAGCACTTGCGCCGACGCGCAGGCACCCTCTCGGCTCCACGGACTTGCTACTGGAACTTCTCCTCAACGTGGTGCTGATGCGGAACACGCTGGGCGATGCGGTGCGGGCGGCGCTCGCCGAAAAGTCGTGGGCGTGGCTGGAGGTCGCAGACGGCCGCTGGGTTAACCCGGGGGTTCTCCAAGATTTCGCTCACGCCACTGGCTGCAAAGGTTTATTCGGTGATTATGTGAACCCCATGCGCACCCGCGGTGAGCGCCCCGTGCATGGATTCGCCGATTTGCTGGCGGACTTGCATGCGCTCCAAGCCGTCGGCGTCGATCTTGTCTCGGCTTTCGCCGAGGATTTGGACGTGCCAAAGTTTTTCGAGGGTCTCCAGTCGGTCCGGGGATGCAGCGGCAGTGGGTTCAGAGCCAAAGAATTATTTGTGCGACTTCGTGGATTGCCTGTCCCACGCCTTGGGCGGGGACCTGAGCGGGGTGCAAGAGCAGTATGAATTGGTCACTGTAATCGGAGTTGGGCCTTGCAGGACGGCAAATTATCTCTTCGGGCCCCCTTTCATGCTGCACGAAGGGGCGCCGCCGAGGCAGAAGAACATCCATTATGCAGGGGGCTTTCGCCGTCGCCGCCTTGCCCTCGCTCGCGCTCGGTCGCTTGCCGACGGGCGGCGCGCGCGCGGGGTGGCGAGCTCCGCAGCGACCGGCGCGCGGCGGAGAGGAATGCTGTCGTCTTCAATGCCGCCGCCTGTCTACCTACGGCGTGCTGGGAGCGGTGCGGTCCTCTGGTCCTCCTCTCCCCCCAACATAGTTCGCGCCGCGTCTTCGGCGGGGCGGCTCCTCGTGCCTGACACCTCCACGCAGGTCGGCGGATCTGCCAATGCTTCGGTATATCATCGAGTGGCTGCGGGACCACCGCGGCGATTTCTACAAGAGCCGGAGTAACTTGGACATCGTGTACGAATTATGTGAATACCAGAAGATACTCCGATTTTGGCACTTGGGCATCGGCACTTCCTATGTTCCAGCAAAAGTTTTGCCGGTGTCGGATTATGTGTCGGAGTTGCCGCTGACGCATGCAGAGTTGGTGGCGTTCTGCAATGCTTCTATCAGGCTCGGGCCATCGGGCCCAGAGTTTGCGCCAGAAGACTGAAGCGGAAAACGCCGCATTCTAGCGGGGTGGGCCAGGCAGACGAGCAAAGGGGAAGGGAAGGAAACGGAGGACGGCGGAGGCGACGGAGATGGGCGCGGGGGAAAGAGGACGATGGGGGGGCAAGGGCGGGGGGAGGGGGGAGAGAGGGCAAGGTTGCGGAAGAATGCGGAGGAGGATGAGGATGGGGAGGAGAATAGGGAACGGGGAGGGGCGGGGGAGGGGATGGGGGAGGAGGAGGAGCAGGAGGAGGAGCAGGAGGAAGAGGAAAAGGAGGAGGAGGAGGAGGATGGGGGCTGACGACAGGTGCCGCCGACCCCGAAGAGGGACGACGACGGCGGCGGCGCCGCCGGCGACGGCGAATGCGCACGGGAGCCTCTTGGGGGGTGCTCAACGGCTTCTGGGGGCTTCTTCGGGCTCCGAAGCTCAGGGGCAACAAACGGGAGGGCGGGGAGGACGGGGGGGGCGACCGAAAACGGCGCGGGTTAAAGAGCAGGAAGAGGAAGAGGAGGAGGATGATGATGATGAGGAGGAGGAGGACGACGACGACGACGACGACGAGGAGGTGATTGCGGGGGAGGAAGGGGGGGCAGGAGGAACAGCCGCCCGTGGGCAAGGCTCAGGAACGCTACCAACATATTGTTTCGGCTTCCTAAGCGTTCAGTACGGCCCAAGAGGCATTTCAGGTGGGCGTAAGACAGCCCCACCCCCCAAGCAGGCCCCCGGCCAAAGCCAAATAATCTCCCCGAGACGCCCAGGGGGCATTCAAGGTGCGCGAAAGTATACGAATTCCGCGCATGATCTTCCAACTTGAATTCGTTATCCAGAAGCACAAAACGCTCGCGACATTTTCAAACTATGTTTTTTTATTGTCCTGAACATTGACGCCGCGACACCACTTAACCGACCTCGGGTTTAATATTTCAGCGCTGCATGTCCATGAATTGCGTTTTCAACGTTTGGGGCAGGGTTTTCAATGGGTTGCGTTTCTTGGGACAGCGTCGCTCCATCGATCCCGGCGCTTTCGGTTTAAAGGTTATCCGTTGCTTTCGCTTCTAAGGCCAAGTTGTTGCTTTTGGGAATCGGCGTGCCGAGGCGGTCTTTTAAAACTTTCGGGATACTTTGTGCATGGAGCCGGCGGCGCCCGTGGAAACCCTGGGGCGGGCGCCCGGTCCCTTGAGGAAACTGACGTACTACAGGGCGCGCTTGGTCTTGGGAGTCCTGGCTGCGTCGGTTTTTATGAGAATGTTTCGACCGAGGTAGACGTTGTGCTGTTTTGCGCCATGACGTTAACTTCTGGCAGAACGGGATGGATTGTGAATCTGGGTGCCCGGGTTCGCCAGGATCAATCGAACCTGGTCGCATTCGTTTTTGATTCGAATGAGAATGTGTTGCGGCGGGAACTTTACACTAACGTTGCGCGCGGCGCAGAGCGCGGTCAGGATCACAAGGTTCTGCGATCGTTTCACCTACATTGCACCACATAGGTTGCACCACGTAGGTGGGCACCAAATGCGACGCATTACATATTTAGCGGCCTTCGGCACTTCCCGCCACCTTGCCCGAGTTGTGGGTTAGAGGCCTCTTGGATGTTCGTCGGGATGTCGTGGGAAACCTCGCGGGGGCCTCTTGGAGGCAGTTCGGAGGCCTGTTCGAGCGTTTGGGAGCATCTTGGAGCTTATTGTTGGGCCTCTTGGGCGCCTCGTGGGGCCTCTTGGAGGCCTCTTGTGCGATACTTTATCAAGGCGCCCCGCGCGAGGTGGTCCGTCCGAGGTGGTCCGTCCACGACGAGGTGATCCGTCCGAGCCGCCAAAACGCCCCGCACGAGGTGGTCCGTCGACGAGGGTTCCGAGATTCCCCGCACGAGGTGGCCCGTCCAGTTTCGCCTAAGACATCTTCGCAACTCTGGGCTCAGTTATCCCTTGACCTGAGGTGGCCAGGCCAGCGTCGCCCGAGAGATGATCCCCCCACCTTTGGGCTCAGGGATGCCCCGCACGAGGTGGTCCAGCCAATTCCGCCTGAGACATCCTCGCAACTCCGGGTTCAGAGATCCCCTGACCTGAGGTTGTCGGGCCAGTCTCGCCTTGGACATCCTCCAATATTTGGCCGTCGATTCCCCCTTCACGTCGCCATCCCATCATCACCATCGCGTTCAACAGCGACGACGTCCGATGAAGACGTCGCCGACGACGACGACGACGACTTCGACGACGACGACGACGGCGATGACTAAACCGACGATGACGACGACGTCCACAGCGCTGAGGAGGCGCAGGGGAGGCTCTATTGGGGGCTCCTGGGGCCCATGGCCCCCCTGCCTCAGGCCCTTGGAATCGCTGAGCTGAGTCTTCCTTCGTGTTGCAATGTAGTCACGTGAGGCTCCATGCCAAGGCCACCCTTTTGTTGGCCTAGCCGTGCGCAGCAACCCTTTGCTCTTACGCTGCGGTCCATGTGGGCCAGGGCATGTCATGGGAATCCTGGGCGGGCGCGCACCGCCTGCTTCGCGTGTTCCGAGCGCGTGGTCGAATCTTGATACATTTCTACGCACTTCTTGGGGGGTCTTGGCGCTGGCTAGGCTTATGGGAGTCATTGCACTCACATGGATCATAGGGCGCATAATTTTCGTAGGCGTTGGAAGGGGTCATGGTGACATGGTGGTTCATATGGCCCTGGGGCTGGCTCCAGGGGTTCATGCGTTCCCTAACGGTTCGTTTGCACAAAATGGCCCAGGTGCATACATGTCCTTGGGCAGAACATCGCTCATACAGTAGATGCCCATGTGCTTTGCATGTCGTTGGTGACGTCCAAACCTCACAGTAGTGTCGGGATTGCAATACCACATGCTATGACAAGACACAAGCGTGATGGCTGAGAGGCCCGAAGCCACTTCGTAGCTTCTCGAAGCCACTCCGGAGCCACTCCGAAGCCACTCGCAGCCACTCGCAGCAACTCCGAAACCACTCGAAGCCACTCGCAGCCACCCCGTAGCCACCTTGCAGCCACCCGCAGCCACCCCGTAGCCACTCGCAGCCACCCCGAAGCCACTCCGCAGCCACCCCGTAGCCACACGCAGCCACCCCGTAGCCACCCCGCAGCCACCCCGAAGCCAGTCCCCTTCGTCACGATCCTGTTCCCAGGCAACATAGTAGATATTACATCTTGAAGCCGCAAGCCGACGCGTCTCCGCGCTTTGAACGGCTTGTTGCTGAGTTCGCAAGCCGCTGCAAAGGCATGACAGAGACCGAACGATTAATCACAAAGCCGTGCACTTACTGATCTAGTTTTCGGATTAAGGGGGTATGAGCGGTAGCGCGCTGCAATCAACCATTGTGACAACTTCCAAAAATCAGGCAGCCTCCCGTAGTCATTCGAGGACGCCCCGAAGCCTCTTCGCAGCAATTCGGGGCCACGCCGCAGCCACTCATAGCCACTCAGGGGTCTCGCCGTACCCGCGATATCAACCAAGTGCACCTTCCCCAGCGCCCTGTCACACGGCGCCAAACCACCGATCAATTCGGCAGCGAGCGAGCGAGGAGAGTGGAAGGAGTGAGGAGGAAGAGGAGTTGTGATGGTACCAACGTGTTTATGCTCAAATTCTCAAGTCTGCAGTGGCCCCAAGCCCGCACAAATACCAGACTTCCTGCTTCGCCCTGGCCGTGGCTACCATGGGCGAGGATGACCGGCAGTGTGCGATATGCTGGGGTAAATCCGAAGAAGCCCCTTGCGTTGCGATGGATTGCATGCACGTCTTCCACGAAGAGTGCCTGGAGAAGGACAGGACCGTCAGGGGCATTGCGCGCAAGGATTTGCAGCGCTGCCCGACGTGCCGTTTCGCCCGGGAGAAGGCGCCAGTAGCAGGGGGCCACGGAGTCTTCGCCATCCCCAACACCCAAGGAGGAACAAAAGTGATTCGTCGTGGACAGCGGCGCCAGTCTGCGCAGGACTTGACCTCTGGCGCAGCGGGTGCCGCACAGGATGACTCGCCTCCGAACGCCATCGCCTCGGGGGCTTCGACCGACGCTGTCGACGGGGCTGGCGCGGGGGATCAGGCGGGCGAGCTCGCCGAGGCCCAGCCGGGCGAGGCGAGCGCCGGCCAGCTCCCCGAGGCCCGGCTGGGCGACGACGACACCGGCGAGCTCGTCGAGGGCGCGCTGGTGTCCCTGAGCCAGGGGGCCGCCGAGGACGCGCTGGTGCCCTTAACACAGAATGGCAGCGAGCTTCTGGAGATGGTCGACGAAGATATGGGCATCCGGTTCCGAGACCGGACGCGCGTCCGCGTGTCCCAGGAGCTGCGCGACCCGATTCGGCCACTGCTACAGGCGTTGAAGGACGACGGCCAGAACCTGCGCGGTTGGAACCGGGCCTTGCATACCCGAGACATATTTGTTGGATTCGAGAGCGAGGAGAGCACCTACACGACCGTCCAGAAGTGGTTGGAGGAGATCACGGCCGACGGACGCACCCACATTGAAGCGGGGGCCGACCCGACGTTCTCCATCCGTAATTTGGTACCGGTTCCGATGTACCGCGCAATTCAGACCGTGGCCTTGCGGGGGGGCTGGCCAGCCGAGGCGCTGTTGCAGGCGATCATCACCAACGCCGGTTGGCTGGAACACCCCGCGACCAGGCTGAAGGAGAAGGCGGCCGACCAGCACGGCCGCGCGCCGAATATTCCGCATTTCTGCGCCGGCGACCCCTCCATGCGCAAATCGTCGCTCTTCCTGTACACGTCCCGCGCCCTGATGGATTGCGACGGCGCGCCCCCGGAGATCCGCGAGGGCACGGCGACGTCAGGAGATGGCACTATTCGTGGCCACCGTTGTTGCATCTACAGCCAGAAGCGGTCCGGGGCGCGCACGGACGAGATCGTCACCGCCTACGATTGCGGACCCATGCTCTCCAAACAGGCCAAGGGCATCCACTGGCTATCTCGGGCCAAGATGAATACCTTCGTGAACTGCGAGCGGGGCACCGTGCTGACTGGCAGTGGCCCAATGCACTTGGAGAATTATTCTTTCATCCACCAGGTCCTCGGTCAAGTCGCTCCTGTGGAGCACGTCATGCGCCCCGCGATGATCGGCTACCAGAAGAGGTACCACATCACCTGGAGAGCCGCCCCTCAGGGCCCTCCTTACGAGCCAGAGCAAGATTGCACTGCGTCCGCGAAGCCGCTGAAGGATTACCACTCCTGGCTCGCGGACAACGCCTTGGTCGATTCAACCAACGTGGTGCTGGACCCCTACGCGCTGTCCTTATTCGGTTATGTTCGTAAGGCGGTGCAGGAGTGCTGCGACCAGACGGAGGGCCTCAATGTGTACTACGTCCACAAGCTCAAGTTCTGGGACAGCGACGTCATGAAGTTCGCTAACGTGAACATGCGCATGACCATGTTCTTGGAGGACAACTTCGCGACCGGCCGGCCCCCGCGCGCGCCCGCGCCGGGCGCCGCCGCTGCCCCCCAGATAAGCGTCTACGACCTGGCCCACGCGATGCGCGCTTGGAGGCGGCAGATTCTCTTGCACATGACCTTCTACTACGCGGTGGCGCCGACTCCCGCGGGGATCGGGCGCCCGCAGAGCGGGCCGACCTCCGGCCGGGGGGGCGGCGCACTGACCGTGGAGGACCTGTGCGCCAAGCTGATCCTCTCCCACCGCAAGTGCGTCGGCGTGGTGAACACCGCTGACATGCGCCTGTGGGTGCGCAATGGCCTCAACGCGCGCGGCGTCAAGGATGCGGCGACCGTGATCGCCGCTGCGGTTCGCCGCGCAGCTGACGCTGGCTCGGTCGAGATCGAGGACGCCCGCGGCCGCAAGAGGCCCGCGCCGGACGGCGACGAGGAGGCGCCGCCCCCGAAGGGTCCGAGCCCGAAGGGGAGGGCAGTCTTGAACATCAAGAAGTGTTCGTGGGCGCAGATCCAGGAGAAGCCGACGGCGAGGGACCTGGCAGCCACCCTGAGCCTGAGCGCTGATTTCTTCCAGGGCTAGGGCGGCCCCGGGAGAGGGCAGCCCCTGGCCATGGGGCGCTGTTCGAGAGAGCTTGGCCGACCGCAGTTTCAATGCCTTTTGCGACGCGGCCTGCGGGGGAGGTCGCGGCGGGCTGCGGAGGCTCAACGCGCGCCGACAGAGAGCGCAGCCACTTGCGCTGGGAAGCCGAACTTTTTTTTCCAGGGCTGGAGCGGCCCGGCAGCGGGCAGCTTGGCCGCGGGGCGTGCGATTCGAGAGGGCCTTGCCAGCAGCAGTTGGAAAGCCTTTTGCGCCGCGGCCTGCGGGGCAGGTCGCAGCGAGCTGTGGCGGCCCAGCGCGGGCCGGGGGCGCAGCCACTCGCGCGGGGATGCCGAAAATGTCCCGGCAACGATGACGGCGACTGTGCCTGCATCTGAAGGAGGGGGCCGGAGGGGGGCTCCCGCTGCAGCCGTTCTCGGTCTCATTGCCGTTCTCGGTCCTGGCTTCGTTCTTCCGTGCAATGCGATGCTGCGTTGTGCACCGCTATGCGATGCCATGCCATGCGCCGCAATGCTCTGACAAGCAGTGCTCCACTGCGCAGTGCCGCACCGCGCTATGGTATGCTACGCTCTGCCGCGCTCTTCTATGCCATGTAATCCCGTGCTATTCCACGTATCGCGCGCCCGCCCTCTTGGGACCATTGCATTCTTCGTCATCCGACTGCGCGGATAGAGAGGGGATCTACGCAATCCCAAGGCTTGGAGGAGAAGGGTACGACGCCAGATATGGCGATATGGCATGAACGCCCCCAGCTTGTCCTTATCCCTCCTTCCCGACCCCCTTCTTGCCGTGGCGTACGGGTTCGACGGCGTTCGGGCAAGCGCGCGCCCTGCCGCGCTTGCCATGGAGAGCGACGCCCGCCTTCCATAGCGGACATTCACTGTTCACGGCCCTCAGATGGCATTGGCAATGCTGCGGGGCATCAAGCCCGTGGAGACCAGGCGCTTTTCCTGGCTGCGGCCTGGGTGGTATAATCTGCACGTTGGCAAGGGCCCGATTAGCAAATATCCCGCATGCCAGGAGGCTTTGCGCAGGACTTGGCCAGACGCCCCGGCGGAGGGCGCGCTGCTCCGTCAGTGCGTTATTGGTCAGGTGCATTTGGCCAAGAGAATGCCGTTGGAAACCGTGGCGCGCCCGTGGGCCATGCCCGCAGCAGGGTCCTGGTGCTACGTCATCGACGCCGCGCGCGAGTTCAGCAACCCTATTGTGAACCTCAAGGGTGGCCAGGGCCTCTGGTACATCGAGGATTCTGCAGTCCAGGAGCTCGTGTCCACCGCCGTGGGGAGTGCGCGGACGAGGCGTTTCCCTGATGTTTGGGGCATTGTGGACGCGATGGGCGCTGACGTGCCAGGGCGCCCTGTTGACTGGGCCGGGCAGCCGCCTGCGGAGCGTGCGCCGCCAGGGGCCCAGCTGGGGATCGCCCTCGAGCTCGGCGTCGGCGAGAGCCGGCGGAAACGCAGAAGCCATGATTTCATGCCGCGGTGGCCCCGGCAGTTCCCTCGCAAGGTGCGCGCGGACATCGGGGTGCGCGAGCGCGCAGGATCCGGCCACCCGGCTACCTCGCAGCATGGTCAGGCGCAATTTCTTCCGATCGGCGGCGCCAACAAGGAAGAGGAAGAGGAAGCGCCCTGTGGAGGAGGGCGGGGCGCCCGCGAACTCGCCCGCCAACCTGCCACCGCGCGCTGGCGGCCAGGATTGTCGCAGCGTGGCCACGGCAGGACAGAGGGCGCAGCGCGTGGCGGCCGGCAGGACTTTGCCGCGCCTGCTACATTTGATGCGCATGAGCTTGCTCCACCGGCCAGAGCGCTGCGTGGATAGCGCTGATGGGCTGCGCCCTCAGGGAGGGCTGTTCGGGTGCATCGCCGGCGACCCGGCGTTCATCGTGGGAACTTTTTCTCGCCGGGGCGTGCCGATGGCCGACGTCGTCCCGCTGCGTCGCCGAAGCCGGCAGCCGGCCCCCGTGCGCGCGTTGCGCGCGACTTGGGTTGCTCAGTGCAAGGATCTGCACACGGCGAAGCAGTCCGAGATTTCCAACGTCGGGGCGCATTTCCAGGCGGCGCCGCGCAGCGGCGGCCAGCGGTCGAGCCTCCATTTCACTTCCTGGCGCGACGAGGCCGGCTGCGACAAAGCGCCGGCGCAACTCAGTCGCACCCTGGCGGCGCTGTGGGACGTCGCGCGCGACCGTGCCCAGGCGCGCCAGAGGGGGCCTGGGTTCCGCAACGTCTGCGCGGTTCGCCCTGCCGCCGTAGATGCGCACGTGGCCGAGGCCGCTGCCAGGGGCGAGCGCCATTGCACTGCTCCCCGGGCCGACCAGTCCAAGACGCAGTTCGTCCTGGACCTCCCGGTGCCGCTCCAGCTTGAGGTGGGGGCGCGCCGATGCCAAACGTGTCATGCCCGTGGTGCGCGAGATTGCTGTGGATTTCCAGTGACGTTGGCGGATATCCGAGCAGCGCGCCCCGGGGTGTTGGCGTTGCAGACTAAGAAGCACGGCCTCATCCTCGCCACGCGCGTCTTCCTGCTGCACTTGCTCCAGAACTTCAACGAGGTATTCTGCGGTCGGGCCTCTCGCCGAGCAATTGCTGAGTACTGCAGTGCACATTGCTTGGCTTTCTCAGTGGGCTCGCGCGCGCTGTGGCACTTGTCGGCAGCGCCCAGCAATGATGCGCTGAGGGCTTTCATCTGCGACGCCTTAGAGAATTACCTGGGCCCGCTGGTTGAGCACATGCGGAAACACGCCAACGTCTACAGCGGCTCCGTCGTCAGAGGGGACGGCAATTGGGACCTCGCCGCCCGCGTCCGCCACGACCAGGGGCGTGAGTTTAGCGTGATACAGGCGTGGATTGGCGTGGACGGCGCGCTCCTCAAGCCCGTCATTGCCAGCAAGACCGAGGACTTTGTCGACCTGCTCCCCGACCTCGACGACGTCGTCTCCAGCCTCAAACGTGACCGCCAAGAAGCGGGCTTGGGCCTGGCCGCCAGCGCGCCGATTTGCCATTGCACGGACGTGTACGGCAAACATCGACTCAAGCTCGCCGAGTTCTACATGGGCAAGTACCCCGAGCAGACGACTATCGCAGTTGCCGACGCGCCGAAGGCCGACGGCGCGCAGGCCGCGGATCGCATCAGCGAGCCTCTGACGGCCATCGCTGGCGACCCCGTCCACGACGCCGCTGCCTCGGCTTGCGCTGGCCCCCAGGGCTGGCCCGGTTCGGGCTGCGGAGTGTGGGTCGATCGGCGGTAGGCTGAAGGCAATCGTAGATCTGGCTGATCCCTGATCGCGTAGGTCGGGCCCGGGATCCACGCCCTGGCCGACCGGCGGCGCTCGGGGCCTGGCCGATCTGGATCTGCCCTGCCGATCTTTGCCCATCGCGGGCCATCTGAGGTCATTGCGTTGCGGCGCTGCGTGAGCCCGTCGTGCAACGATTGCCGCGAGTTCATACACGACCACCAGGACATTTTGTCACGTCTGTCAGCGCCGCCTCCAGACGCACCGCCTGCCGGGCAGGCGCCCCCGCGCCCGCGCCCCCGGGGCCTTTCGGCGGCGGGCGTTTCGATGCTCAGGACCGCAATCGAGAAGAACGCGGCGGCGTTCCAGGCAAGCATGGGCGCGGATGCCGACGGGGCCGCGGACCTTCGACGATTCCTGCAGTTGCCGAACGCGTCGAAGTGCCGCCTCTGGAAGAAGGAGTTCGGCTCGTACCCCCCGCGGGGGGTGGTGTCGCGCATCGCGCGGCGCGCCGGGGTTCAGGCGGTCTCGTCCATGGGCTTTCGTGGGCACACCTCCCCCAAGGGGTTCAAGGCAGAAGTCCGCAGGAATGCCAAGTGGCACAAGCCGGGCCGCCGCTCCACCCGTAGGCGTCGGGGTATCATTCGCGACAAGAATCAGCCCGAGCAGGTCCGCGGCCTTCGCAGCGTCTGGTCCGTCAAGGTCCGAGCGCATTACCGCCGCCTCCTGAAGCCTCTGAGGGTTGAAGGCCTGTGGGCCTGGCAGTCGGCGGCACTTGCCATCCGCTACGCGGGAGTGCCCGTGCAATCGGGCACTGTGCCTGTGGAGCGCCTCTGGGAGTGTCTCAAAGGGATGCTCCCGCGAGGCGCCCGAACAGTGTCGCTTCGCTGGTTCAATGTCCTCAGCCAGCTGGCTTTCTCGAGGTTTAATTACCGCCACTACGGCACGGGGTGTCTGCCCGCGTGGGCAGAGAGGGATTCCCTCCTGGCCCAGCGCCTGGAAACCGTCGTCATGCTCGGGGTTGAGCTCGACGAGACGGAGGGCGCATGCCTCGACCATCTTAGGCATTTGTTCGCACCGTTCCTCTGACCAGGTTAGCCATTGCGCGGGCGTCAGCCACACTCCGCGCGGGCCCCGGCTGGCTTCCGCCGACATCAGTTCTACCATTGGCTTGGATTTTGTTGGCCGGGGCGCGCCTTCGGAGCGGGTAGCTCAGGCCCGCGGGGCGCGCAATTCGAGAGGGGCTCGGCTTCTGCAGACATGTGTTGAACGTTTTCGGGACCGCGACCTGCGGGGCAGGTCGCAGAGAGCTGTTGCGGCGGCGCGGCCGCGTATTTAGCCCGGCCACGCGCGCGCAAAGACCGAAAATGTCCGCGCCGGGGTTGTCGCAGTCGCTAGCGCTGTCGCGGCAACAGGGCGGCGGTGACGAGGGCAGCTGCTGCGACTGCGACGGCAACAGGGACAGGGGGGTAGAGTAGCGGGAGGAGGAGGAGGAAAACAAAGAGGAGGAGGAGGAGGAGGAGGAGGAGGAAAATGATAAAGGAGTTGTGCGCGCGCATCGGCAAGAGCCGCACAAGCGTAGTTTCGGGAGCTATCGAAGACGCCCACGGCGAATCACCGCCGCCCCCTGCCTTCTGGGGAGTACCTCTGCGGCCAATCGTTGGGCCCCAGTTTGGCCAAACCATCGGACCATGTATTCCCCCAGCCGCTCGGGAAGCTCTTCGGGGAACACTTGGGGGAGGATGGGGGGGAGGATCAGGTGAGGTAGGAGAAGGAGGATGAGGAGGAGGAGGAGGAGGAGGAGGAGGAGGAGGAGGAGGAGGAGGAGGATGCAGCCATCTTGGAGGCCATCTTGGGCGTCTTGGAGGCCTCTTGGGCGATCTTGGGGGCCTCTTGGACCGTCGGAAGCCGAACAACAAGAAAACGCAACAACAAACCATTCAAACACCCAAGAGACAACGATGATGATGCTCTCTTCGGGCCATCCTGGAGGACCTCTTGGAGGCTTCTTGGGCCATCTTGAAGGCCTCTTGGAGACCTCTGGGGCCGTCTTGGGCCCTCTTGGGGGCTTCTCGGACAAACTTGGAGGCATCTTGGATTATCTTGAGCCGTCTTGGGCGAACTTGCAGGCCATCTGAGCCGTCCTAGAGGCCATCTTGGGCCATCTTGGAGCGGGAAAGGCCACGACTGGCCCAGTTTGCGCTCCTTGCGGGCCTTTCCGGGAGGCCGGCGGGCTGGTTCAGGGAGCATTCTGTTGGAAAAGAACCAAAACCCAAAGCGTCAGCGTACAGCACGCCGGGCACCCCTGCGCTAAATCAACAGGGGGCGGCGGATCTAATGGCCTCCGGCCCATCCCGCCGCCGTGCCAGGATTGTGGGTCTGAGTCAGAGCCTCTTGGCTGCCTATTGGGGTCTCTTGGGAAACTTTCGGGGAGCTTGTTGTTGAAGGCAGTTTTGAAGCCTCTTGGGGCTTCATAGGGGGACCTGTTGGGAGCCTCTTGAGGCTTTTTCTGGGCCTATTGAGGGCCTCTTGGGTCCTCGTGGGGGCCTCTTGTCGGCCCTGTGGCGGTCTCGGCCCTCCCCCTTCGGGGCGCAGTGCTCGACATCTCAAGTTGGCTTGCCAATCTTGGGCTCATCTTGGGGCCCTCTTGAGGCCATCTTGGGCCGTCTTGGACCTCTCGGCCGAAGATCGGCCGACCCAGCTTCGGAGCCGATCAGCCGATCAGCCGATCAGCCGATCAGCGACCGAGCAGCCGATCAGCCGATCAGCCGATCAGCCGATCAGCGACCGAGCAGCCGATCAGCCGATCAGCCGATCAGCCGATAAGGCTGATCGGCTGATCGGCTGATCGGCTGATCGGCTGCCTGGTCGCTGATCGGCTGATCGGCTGATCGGCCTGATCGGCTGATCGGCTGATCGGCTGGGCTCGGATACCACCCTGGGCGCCGTCGCCCTGCTAATTCTTCTATACGGTTGCCTTTGGGGGGGCGCCTGGGACCTCTTGGGTACAGTGGAGACCCATGCCAAGAAACACCCTGCTTGCCTCCAGGTGCCCCGGGGTTTCTCAGGATTCGATGGTTTAGCTCTGGAAAGCGTGACCTTCCCACGACCAAACATCCATGGACGTCATGGGATCTCAGGGTTTGGGTGTCTTGTGGAAGGCTTCTTGTGTACTGGTCTCCGCTGCATCCTTTGGGGCCGCCGCGGCCCAGCCATGGGGGCCGTCGGTCGGAGGCTCGGGCCGCCTGGGAGCAGCGCGACGGCCCCCACCCCGCTGGCAGTCTGCTCGCAGAGGCTGTGGGCCTCCCAGAGGCTTTCCGCCGCCTCGGAGGCTGGATCCGCTGGACGGACGAAAGGGGGGGATTGGGAAAGGGGGGTTACGAAATTTGCTGCATGCAGCTGGTTTCGGCCTCACCGAGGGGCCCATTCCTCGATACATAGCCGCCTCTGGCGCCGGGAGGCGCCGGGAAAGTCAGCTGCGTGAGCTGATTCTCAAACCCCCCCTTTGCTATCCTTCCCTTTCGCCCGACCCGAGCATGGGCCCGGGGAAGGGGTCTTCATTCCCCCACGAGCCAAAGCCTCTCGGTCCCTCCCATAGACGAACAAATGGTGGCACGACAGAACGGGGAACACATTGCACTCCTCTCGAGCCGCTTCTCTGTCCCCATTTGGAATCCCAGCCTCAGCCTGTTCCTCCTCTGGGGTCTGTGGGGGCACCGAGCAGCAGTCACCACGAAGACAATGACGTGTTGCTGAACGCACCGCGCAGTCGACGCAGCCACTAGAAGTACTACGAGCAGCGTCCTTCCGGATCGCATCGCAAGCGATAGGGGAGGATGCGACTCTTGAGAACCTCCAGCCGGTCGCCGAGTGCAGGAGCACCCCGCGCCTCTGCCCGCCTGTTCGCCCAAATAAGGAGCAGATCGCGCGAAGCGCGCGCTTGGTTCCAGCGTGGCACATGCATTCAGGAAGCTTGGTCTTGGTTCCAGAACGATTCGCCCGCGATGGGCGATAGGGGCTCCAGGTAAGGATCACGCCCGAAGTGCAGCTTGGTATTACTGCGGAGGGCCCATCCAGCGAGATTGGAGCTGATAGTCTCCAGTCGGCAGCACCTGTACGCACGGCATAGCAGTTTCAAAAACAGCGTCGCGTTTCGGAAGTTGCATGCGTCCTGCCGTTGCTATGCCCGCGTCTTGGACTCAAGTCGCTGCTGACAAAAGTTTGGGGAGTTTCGGACTATATTGCCTCAGATCTAGATTTGGGCAGGGCGTATGGGGGCCAACAGCAAGACGGGGGATTTGCGAGACAGCACCTGACCTGCTGAACTTCCCCGCAGCGTCAACTCCCCTCTCGCTCGCTAGTGCGCGCTGAGAGCGGAGGCGGGGGTGGGAGTGGGGGGATGCCGTCTCACAGGTTGTCCTGGTATCTTTCGCACCCTACTAATTATGCGACCACCTCTTCTGCCAAAGACCGGGCGACCTGGCCATCCTGCCGAAGGCATGGGGACATTCCGAACAGGAGCACGTCATCACGTGCGGCGGTCGGTCCTTTCGTGTCGTAGCTTCGTCGTTCCACGCCTGCTCCCGGCAGCCCAAGCCCTCCTGGGGGCCAGCGCGTGGGGTGCGCCCGCCGCTGTCCCCGTGTCGCCCTGCGGGCGGCGGCGGGCGCCTGCGCTTGTGGGGGGAAGGGAGCGCTGTCGCCGCCGGGACGCGCCGCCCGTGCAGGGCCTGGTGACGTCGCTGAACATCGGCATGAGGTGGAACGGGGCCCTGCTGCGGATGCGCGAGGACAGCGGCGCCGCTGGAGCACGCCCCTCTCTCGGCCTTCCTGGATGGGGTCGGGGTCGACGGGGTCGGAGGACTGCGCCGCATCGCCGATGCATCGCCGTTGCGGCTCGATGTGCAGCCCGATTTGCCTCACGTCGACGTCGCCGATGCATCGCCGACGACGACGATGCATCGCCGATGCATCGCCGATGCATCGGCGATGATCGTCGATGCGGCGCGATCCTCCGGCCCTATCTACTCCGACCCCATCTAGGATGCCTCTACCCCAGATCTGCAGGTGGGGGCAAGCGGCGGGTTGCCAGAAGTTAGGGGGAGGAGGCGGAGGTGCAGTGCGGCGTCTCGGTCCTCTAGTCCAGAGTTTCTTGGATTTCAGCGCCCCCGCCTTCCTAGGTCAGGCGAGCCAGACACCACTTCCCGTGGCGGTGGTGGGAAGATCCCTCTGCAGGGGAATGGTTGGAGTAAGGACCTTTCTCGATTTGGATTGGGATTGAGGTTCCTCACCCTGTTCCTCTCGTCGTGATGTGCCGCTCGTAAATCTCGCCTGGGCGCTGCCAGGGAAATCAAGAGCCTCACGCCTCACCGAAGAAGGTTCATAGTGGCAAAGCCTTGGCCGCCCCCCTGTAGCATGAAGGACACAGGTCCTGCGGGAAACGGACATTCCGACGGGACAGTGGATGATGATGATGATGATGATGATGATGATGATGATGATGATGATGATGATGATGATGATGGTGGTGGTGGTGATGGTGATGGTGATGATGCTGATGATGATGATGATGATGATGATGATGATGATGATGATGATGATGATGATGATGATGATGATGATGATGATGATGATTTTTATTATTATCATGATTAGAAAAAACACCCCCTGGGCCGGGAAACTATTTGATTAATCGTTCTCCCCCGCCCTCCTTGGGTGCACGCCTGGACAGTCGGCGGGCCAGACGGAGCCGAAGCGAAGCAGAAGCCGAAGGTGCGGAAACTATGCTGCGAATCGTCCCCCCCCCCCCCACACACATCCTGTTTATCAACCAACATCTTACATTGTTTGGCCTTGGGGCCTTGCCCAGGGCCAGTGTGTCATCCTGAATCGTTTTCTTTGACTGTTTTGGGGCTCTGGGAGAACCAGGGCTCTGGGAGAGTTGGGGGGACGGCGGCCGAAACACTTCCAGCCCGTGCGTCCTTTCGGACATTTTCCCCTCACGCGGCGATTACCCCGATCTCCAACCTTTGCGGCCATCTTCCCCTACCCCATGCCCCCACCTCCCTTGCTTCCCCCTTCTCTTCCCCTCCCACCATCTCCCCTGCACGCTCTTCCTTTCCCGCCTCCGAGGGGGGCCGAGGAAGGAGAGGGAGAAGGGAGAGAGAGAGAGAGAGAGAGAGAGAGCGAGAGAGCGAGAGAGAGGAGGGAGGAGGGGAGAGACCGGAGGAGGGAGGGGCAGGAGGCGGAGGAAGAGGAGGCCATGCCTCCGATGCGCATACCCTTACACTAGGGGCCCGACAACAAGAGCACGTCTGCAAGAAACCCAACCCTGAGACAACAGGACGTTCACTGATGTTCGGTGTGGGCACGCCACGCCCTTCCATAGCATCTCTGTCTACGCCCTAGAAGCACAGGGCACCCTGGAGGCGAGCAGGGTGTTTCTTGGTAGGAGAGAAGGAGGAGGAGAAGCAGGAGGAGGAGGAGGAGGAGCAGGAGGAGGAGGAGGAGGAGCAGGAGGATCGAGGAGAAGGAGAGGAGGAGGAGAGGAGGAGGAGGAGGAGGAGGAGGAGGAGCAGGAGCAGAAGGAGGAGGGGGAGGAGGGGAGGAGGATCGAGGAGGAGGGGGAGGAGGAGGAGGAGGAGGAGGAGGAGGGGAGGAGGATCGAGGAGGAGCAGGAGGAGAGGAGGAGGAGGAGGAGGAGGAGGAGGAGGAGGAGGGAGGAGGAGGGGGAGGAGGAGGATCGAGGACGATCGAGGATCCCTCGATCCTCCTCTGTATCCTCGGCCTTCCCTCCCATCGGCCGCGTGCGCCCGCCAGCCCCCCCCCCTGGGGCCGCAGGAGCTCGCGGCCGGGCGCATCGGGGCGCCGAGGGGCGGCAGCCTCAGCGCGGAGGCGACGAGAGGGGCGGATAGCCTCAGGTCGGGCCCGTCCCTCCACCTTCTCCTCCTCCTCCTCCTCCTCCTCCTCCTCCTCCTCCTCCTCCTCCTCCTCCTCCTCCTCCTCCTCCCCATCCTCCTCGTCCTCCTCCTCCTCCTCCTTCTCCTCCTTCTCCTCCTCCCCTGCCTCTTCTATTCTCTGTGAGCAAGCTCCTGCTGTCTCCGCAGCTTCTCTGCCCAAGTGCCCCCCGTCGGCCGCGCGTGCGGGCGCCTTATGCAGGCGGTCGCACAAGCGGCTCTCCAGGGCGCTGGGGAGATTTTGTTCAGGGGGCTGCGGGCCGCGCTCTACGAGCGGCTCGTGGCTGCCCCCCTCTCTGTGCTTCAGGACCAGGGGCCTCCATCGCCTGCCTGGTCCATCCAGCAGGCGGACTCGTCCGAGGGTGAGGGGGCCTCCTGCCCTCTCCCTTCGGCGGGTTCCACCTGCCCCACCGTCTGCCTCGGGCTGGCGGTGGACCTGAGCGGCGGGGTCTCTCCCTGGCTGCTCAGCACGGTCGCCGCCCTCCTCTGGGTGACGGCCGCCTGCAGCGCCTGCGCGGGCTGCTGCCTCGGGCTGCTGGGCCCGTACGTGTGGCGGAGGCTCTGGCCCTCCGCCTGGCCGCGCGGCGCGGTTTCTGCTTCACCTGAGCAGGACCGCCGTGCGGCGCGAGCGCTGGCCTACGGGGCTCCGCCTCGACCTCAAGCGCTCGAGCGGGCAGACGCCCAGCGTGCGGGCGGCGGCGTCCACGGCGGCGCCCACTGATGGCGGAGCTGCCACCAGTTGGCGGAGGGCCCCTTTGGCCCGAGCTCTACCCTTTCGCTGCGCCCACGGCGCGCGACTACGCACGATGGCGCCTAGACGACGGCGACACCAGCTGGGCGGCTATCCCCCTCGCCTCTCGAGAAGGGGGCATCCTGCTGGCCCTGCCTGGTGCCTTTCGCTCTACAGCGGAGCTCGAGGCTGCCGAGGCGGATGGCTTTGCTGGGATGATAGGCCCCTTCCAGCTAGTGGACGTCCAGCTCCAGGGGGCCGCTTCACGGCCGCTCGCCACTACCGCATCCGTCCTCGTTATAGATATCGAGGTTGCCGAGCTCGAGCTCGAGTCGCTGTACCCTCTAGAGGTCGGCGACGACGCAGGCATCGTTCCCTTCGCCGAGGTGCGCAGCCGCGTCTATTGGCCGCATCCTTCGGGGGTTCGGGTGCTTCGCGAGGGCTACGCTCGTTTGCACGGCGCCCCGCCTACCGCAGGGGAAGAGCCTCTCCCAGGGGCCGATCGGGCTACCCCCTACCACTCTGCCGACGAGATGGAGGAGCCCGAGGGGTTCGCGGCCGACGGGGAAGCCGACCGCGCGGCCCCAAGTGCGCGAGCCCCCGCGGTCGCTGGAGCGCCGCGCGGCCCGCCCGCCAAGCGCGCTGGCGCCGCCGCGCCGCCACGGGTCGCGGGTCCTGCTCCGATTGCTCCTGGTGCTCCTGCGGCGTCTCTGGACGACGGGGCTCCCATGACCCGCGCCGAGGTAGCTGCCGAAATGCGCGCCTTGCTTGCAGCCCACGCGGCCTCCACGATGGTCGGCGGACCCGAACCGCTGGGCCCCGCTCCGGCTGCCCGGAGCGCTCGGCCCGAGGTGCCTCAGCTTTTCAGCGACGAGGCGGCGCGCCTCGGGCTGGATCCTGCGGGGATCGAGGCCGTCTTGTCCCACGCGCCCGTGGCCCCACATCGGGTCTCCGCGCGCCCCAAGGGACCCACCTCCGCGCTGGTCTCGGCGTGGGAGAAGGCGCGCTCTCTTGCTGTCCCTCGGGCCCCTTCGTCCGCTTCCGGACCGATGGGCCCCCCGCCGCCGCCTGGGCTAGCCCATCCCGCTGCGGTCGACGGCTTTGCCGAGGCGGGCGGCGCCGACGGGTTAGAGCCGCCCCTTGCGGCCAATCCGACGGACTTCAGCCTCATGCTTCAGTGCCTGCACCAGTCCCTTTCCTTGCAGCAGGGGCGGGGCCATCGCCCAGCCTTCCACCCGCTTCTGGGGACCCTGAGCGACCAAGCTCAAACTCCGCCCGCGACCTCGGGCGACCCCGCGCACGCATCGGCTCAGATGGGGGGAATCGCTCGGAGGCGCGAGTGGCAGCAAGCGCTGATGCAGCACGGCCCCGACGTGCGAGGACTGATGAAGGAGAATTTGGCCCGCGTTCTGGGCGTGGAAGTCAGCGCCGTGACCCCCATGGCCATGCATCAGTACTTTCGCGAGCACAGCCCCCTCGGGGCTCAGCCGTCGACGCACGAGTTGTTGACGCATTTTGCCTTCCTCAGCGCCGAGCTGTGGCGGGCCTGCGAGGAGGGCAACCCCGAGAGGGTCCAGACCTTGCTGACTTGCCAGTGCATGTTCATCGACCAGTTGGCGGGGGACCGCGGCTACCTCGAGGCCGCTTGGTTCCTCACGGGGCTGGAGCCTCCCCCGTGTCGCGTGACCAGTCGTCACACGGAGCGCGAGGCCCAGACCCCGTTTTCACCCCTAGTGGATCCTCGCTGGCTGTCGGCGCAGGGCGAATACATGAAGGAGCTGCAAGCATTTCGGGCGCGCCTCGACGCCGAGCGCGCCGTCGCGCTCCCCAAGCATCCACCTCATCAGCCCAAGCAGCCCAAGGTCTCAAAGCCCCCCTTCAAGTCTCAGGGTGCTCCCAAGGCCCCGAAGGCGGTGCCCAAGAAGGACTGAAGATGCCCTTGGCGCCCGCCTTCTTGGAGGGGGGGCCTTCGCGTGGCCGGGGTACGCCGCCGCAGACAGTCTGCACCGACGCTGCTACGGCTGCTAGGCGTGTTTGGGCGCAGCGAGGGCGTGAGGGTAGGAATGCGCTCCTCCAGCGATGCTGTTGCGGCCCCGCAGGGAGGAGTACGTTCCGCCACCACGCCCCTCGCTCTGCTCCGAACCGCCCCTCGGATCCATTCGGCCATTTTGGCCGTCACCTGCCTCAGTCGAGCGCTCCCCCCATGGGGCCTGCAGCCCCTGAGGTTGGTGTTCTTGCTGGTGCTTGTTCTCCTTCAAGCACCCCTGCTGCTCTTGCCAACGTCGCGCCATTTGTCGCTGACTTGTCTGCCTTGCTGCGCCTGTTTCCAGGCGCGAACATTGATATCACCCACTGGGCGGCAGCGCTGTCCCAGGTTGGGATGGGTGCTCGATGTTCTCTTGGATCTTTCTCCCGCTCATCAATGCGTGCAATGGACAGGGACGACCCGTACCTTTTGGGGCCGCCTCCCCGCGATCCTTGGCCGTGCCCGCCTGCTCCACCTCTTGGTCCCCCGCCTGACGGCTTGTCGGCGAGGCGCAGGGAGCGCTGGAGATTGCGGCGCGCGGCGCGGACGCTCGCGCAGTATTCTGTTATTGCGTTGAACTGGCTCACTTTGGGTCATCCTAGCCTCGCTCCCGCCGAGGCTCGTGTCCGCGCCACGGTCTCGCCCTGCCAGGAGGGCGTCCGCACCCGTATCGAACGGTTGTGTCGGATCGCAGTTCGCCTTGCCCGTGGTGGCAAGAGCGACTTAGGTCGAGCCTTCGCCAAGTTCGACTCTACTGAGGTCTCGCTCCATGGCCTGGCCACCCATGTTGCAGCTTTGGAGGCCTCCTTCACCTCCTCTTCTTCCGTGCCCGCCCCCATGCGGCACTGCCCGACCAGCGCTCCTTCCGTGCCTGGTTCGCTGGCGTCTGCGGCGGCTTGGGACTCCACCCAGGTCGAGCCCTTCGATTTAAAAGTCAGGGCGTCTCGCATTAAGTGGGATTACTCGCCAGTGTTTGATCCCATTCCATTTCTCTCTGACGCTCGAGTCCGCGAAGCGTTCATCAATCCAGAGGAGATGCGGCTCCCGGCGTCAGAGTGGCCTGCTGGCCAAAAGGGGGCGCGTGTCCATATGGACCGCGCCGAGCTGTGGGCCCTGCTCCAGAAGTGGGATGCCTGCGGCGCCCTGTACCTGACTCCTGCTTCGGACCTCGCCTGGGATGAAGCCTGCGGAGCTTTCAGGGTACCGAAGGACAGCGACTTCGACAGGCTGATCCTGAACCCAACGGTCGTGAACAGCCGCTGTGCCTCAATCTCGTCCAGCACCCAGCGCCTTGGCCAGGGTTTCCTGCTGTGCCGTTTGGGTCTGGCGCCTGGGGAGTGGCTGGCAGTTTCTTGCGACGACCTACGGGAGTTTTACTACACTTTCCGCGTTCCTCCCGCGCGCGCCAGGCGTAACGCCCTTCGCGTTCGTCTGCCATCATCCCGCTTCAAGGCCTTTCGAGCCTGGCGCCCCGAGCTCGAAGGTGTGGACGTCGCGCCTTGCCTCAATGCTCTAGCGATGGGCGACAACATGGCGGTGGAGATTGCCAACTCTGCACATGAAGGCGTCTTGCACAGCTTCGGGGCCTTGCGGCCTCACGAGCAGGTTGTCCACCGCTCGCCCTTCCCGCGGGGACCGTTTGTCGAGATGCTGAATATTGATGACCATACAGGTTTTCAGAAGCTCTCGTGGCATGGCTCCGCTCCTCGCCCCGACGACCCCTGTCGTCGTGATCGTGAGGTCTTCGCCGCCTGCGATGCAGGCTACCCGCGCGTGGGCCTGATTCAGCATCCAGGCAAGCGCGCGCGCGGCGAAACGCACAAGGTGGTGGTGGGCGCCGAGGTGGAAGGGCGCATAGGCATCGTCTGCGCTCCCTTAGTGCGGACGGTGGCCTTGTGCAGGCTGACCCTGATCCAAATCTACCTCGGCATCACCACACGCTCCCTGTTAGCCTCTCTTGTGGGCTGCTGGGTCCAGGTGTTCCTCTATCGCCGTCCGATGCTCGCCATTTTCACGCACGTCTACAACTTCCTGTCGCGCCTGGCGACCGAGGAGGGCATTGAATACGACTTGCCTCCTTATGTTCGCGACGAGCTTTTGGCCTGCACCTTTTTAGCCTTTACGGCTATAACCGACCTTCGGGCGCAGCCTTGCCCCGAGGTGTTCGGTACGGACG